TTCTTTTTCAGGCGAATGGGTGTGACAAGAGTCAGTGCAGAGTGGCAAACTAAGACGCCCAGGCCTTTTTTTCACACCCTCACTCTCGGTGGAAAACCTATATCATTATATTCATTTAATCTGTCCCCTTGGATGTAAAAAATGTCTGTGCTGCTGGTGTTCTGTTGCATATCCTTGCTGTCAAAAAGCAGATCTCATTTTACCGAACGGATATCAGTTTCTCTTGAAAAGTACCCACTGTAGGATGCCGAAGCGGAAATAACCCAAGCTGACCAATACACAGAAGTAAAATATATTCCGTTATAATTTGGTTCTTTTAGCGTAGCTTCATCCGGATTATATTTCTTATTGCAACGTTTTTGTACCCCGCAGGTGTGAAAGCCAGTAATCACAGCGGTCGAAATGTTCTCACGAGAAGAACAAAGATGGCAGAACGGTATCAAAAGAACCAATGTATAATAGTAACAACACATCGTCTTAGAAAAGCTGACAAAAATTGAAATATATATATTTAAACTGAAAGTTACGATACGTTATCTCAGATTCAAAATATATAGTAAAAATAATAAATTCTTATAAAAAATATTCCATAAACCAATAAATATTCAATGGACGTGTATCATTGCGCGTCGTCAGGATTTCGCCTCAAATCGCTCGTTAGGGTCAGATGTTCTATAAATCTGTTGAAATTATTATTAGATCTCGTATTTATACTCCTTGAAACAAACAAAAGGAAAATAAAATTAAAATGGATTTTAATTGGTTCTATATTTTTTGTTGTTCCGATTTAAAATAAACTGTAAAGTGGCGTCAATCTGAGATCAGTGCAGAGAATTCGGAAATAGCTGGATGAGTCTAATGGTGATTACGAAGGTACGGTAACTCGGAAAAATCACTCATCACTCCAATAAGAAAATAACTAACGAATTTATTGGTGAGGGCATCAAACCCAACATGGGGGCCTACATCAAGTACTTTGAAGAGGTAGTGCTGCCCTGGGTCAAGAGGGTGGCTGCTAGAAGACCCTATGTCTGGCAACAGGTCTCTGCACTATGTCACACAAGCAGGAGAATCCAGCCATGGCTGTCAGACAATTTCTGTAACCACAACACCCCTTACATCTGACCACCTAACTCCCTAGACTGCAAGCCCCTTAATTATTATGTATGGGGCGCAGTTGAGCGAGAGACCAACAAAACTCCTTGTATATCACCAAAGATGAACTGAAGGCAAGGATTATGGCAGCATTCACCAACTTAAACAAAGAGAGTGCAGAGAAAGGTTTCAGAAGATCCCGAAGTCGTCTAGAGACCGTGGTGGAAGCCAATTGCGATTTTATTTTTATATCCATCGCGCACTGTATATATATATATATATATATATATATATATATATATATATATATATATATATATATATATAATTGTGTGTGTATCTAAAGTATAGGATTGGTGTATATGGAATGAATTCCAATAACCCAAAAAATTCTATTCTTAAAAGAGTACTCAATACAATAATATATATAGGAAAAAGGTTATAGTTGTTGCACCGAAAGAAAAATGTATATTTTAAAAAAGAGAGAAACCGAAAACGTTTTTGGTTATAATGTAGATTTGTTTTAGTATATATATTATATTTTATTCTTCATATTTCTGAATAATATATAATATATATTCTAAAAAAAACTATATATATATATATATATATATATATATATATATATATATATATATATATGGATGGATGGATATATACGTAAATTATTTTCAGATAGAGTGTATCTGTACAGGAACAGAATGAATAAAAATACAATAGGAAAACTATTTTTAGCTAACGCGTTTCGTCCTCTCATGAACTTTATCAAGGCGAATGTTTGATTTATTTTATTGGACGTGTTTATATACAAAAGCAAGGATGTCATTGGTTTATCAAGTCTTTTTAACGTTCATGAATATTCATCAAGTGGTTGAAAGGTCAGCCAAAACATGTGAAGGACATAAAATGCCATAATTCAAAGACTGGTAAGACAGAAGTAAGCGAGAAATATTCAAGAAATATTTATTTTTAATAAATGATTATTCATATATATATATATATATATATATATATATATATATATAAGCACATGCAAGAAAATAAATCCTTCATTTGCTTTGATAAAGTCCCTTTGAAGACCAAACAGGACGGCTAAGAATAGTTTTTCCTCTTGTATTTTATTCACACACACGCGCGCACACACACACACACACACACACATATCATACACACACATATATATATATATATATATATATATATATATATATATATAATTATTTAAAATAATCATATTTTTAAATAAATAATTATATTTAGGCTCTACTTTTGTATCGAGCACTGTTTTTTAAAAAATAATAACAAAAATACTAAAGAACTTTGAATTATTTACCTAACTAGTTCTTTCCTATTTTCTATATATTTTCACACACACACACACACACACACACACACACACACACACACACACACACACATATATATATATATATATATATATATATATATATATATAATTAGTATTAATGCAAATGTAAAGTTTGTCACTTAGCTGATTGTTGTTACCTTCAGGATCCCGACTCCAGAGTTTCGTAGAGAGTCTCTTTAGCAATCACTCCCTCCGCTCGTCAGGAAGTGTATACATTGTGCGCCAGGTAATTGGGAATAAATTATAGTATAAAAATAAAAGATATAAAAATAGGAAGCGATCAGTACAAGTTTTAAAATATATTATTTTTATTTCTACGCATGTTCAAGTTTAAAAATAGAAAAAAATGTCCTTCAGTAAAAACCATCTTCAAATTTGAGAACGGTTTCTGAAGTTCCACTAGGTCGGGATCAGGTGGTTTTCGTTCATGTTTGGCTATCACGTCTACAAAAGCAGCATTCAACAAGTCTTTGATATTGTGGGGGCGCTAAGCAGATCTCGATTTCGATCGACGCCCAAAACATGCGGGAAACATGATCAGGAAAGTTCTCAACCAGCCACACCTTGGTCACGTGGGCTTTGTGGGAGGCAAAATGAATCCTGCTTGAGTATCCACGGTATTCCCTCCGAACCAAGAGCCTGAAACCCTGCAGAAAAAGGTGGAATGACATGAATTGGCCCTCGTTGCTCATGGGTTCCTCACAGACTTTCTGTGCTTCACTCTGAGAACTTTTGAGGTGTCCCTACTCTTGTTAACCTGGTCGCATTCAAGACGTTGGCGACTTCCAAATCGCTGTGACAAGAACGGCGTATCAGTCTGGAAACAAGATGTTAAAATATAGCGCAAACCGCGCAACATTAAGTTAGGTCATTTTCTATTTAAGGTCCTCTGAAGATGTATTCTCAAACACCTGATTCATCCTATATATAAAATACGCCAATACGCCGTCTATTAGGTTTGAAACATTTCGCTGCACTTGAGTTATCTTCCTTGCAATGGCGACACATGATGTCAGTGTATGAATTATGATAATGGCGGACTAGACCAAGATGTTTACGAAGCTGTGAGGTGAAAAAACAACAATAACTAGAAAACGATATATTTAAAATTGAAGTCATTTTTGGCGGCATGGGTAAAATAGTAAAAGAAATTTTAAACTCAGCTCAAATTCACGTATGACTATTCAAAGGGAACCTATAGCGGGAAATGTTTTGATGAAATCATCAAAGAAAGAAAAAAATGATAACAGATGGATCTGTGCTTTATTTCCAACTTGAGTGATGAGAGATGTGTGAAAGGTTCGGCGAATCGGAAGAAACGCTGGTTAAAATAACAGCTGTACAGATTGCTACATATGTTGAAAATGACTGAACTTATGGCTCCCACTTTGTAAGTAAATCTGTTTCTAATTTAAGATATTAGTCAAGCAACTTGATCGTATCGAATAAATGTCGAAATATACATTGTAATACAGAGAAAGAGAGAGAGAGAGAGAAGGGGAGAGAGAAGGAGAGAAAGAGAAGGAGAGATAGATAGATAGATAGATAGATAGATAGATACATAGAAAGAGATAGATGTTGAGTGAGAGACACATACGCACACGTAGAATTATATATATATATATATATATATATATATATATATATATATATATATACATGAATTATTCACACAAAACTAATGCAAAGGTTAATGATTTAAATGGCGAGACATCCATCATCGCAAACAATTCAAAAGGATCAATTCATTCATAACGGATCTGGAGGTTTTTTAGTACTATTTGAATTGTTTGCGATGATGGATGTCTCGCCATTTAAATCATTAACCTTGCATTAGTTTTGTGTGAATAATTCATGTATTTGTAAATTGATTGCACGTTTATTGTAATTTAAATAACTGATCCATGTGCGACTTTTAGATAATAAGTGCGACATTACTGTAATTATTGAACAATATATTTCATGCCACTTTGACAGTAAAATTTACCAGTAAAAATTTGTTCAACACCATATTTGGTATAAACGCAAACATTTAAAAAAATTTAAAATCAAACTCAGCGTTGCTTTGGCGCGTTCAAAAACCAATAACTCATTTTCAATAGCATTTCGGATACAATAACACATATATTTTCGATGTCCTCTTATTACTAAGAGAAAAAAAAAAAAAAGAACAACATCTATTATATACCTGAAGATGTCTGTAGGAACAGACGAAAGCTTGTAGTAAAAATAACAACTAATACGGCAGAAATTTATATAAACAAGGATCAATTCATTCATAACGGATCTGGAGGTTTTTGTGTACTATTTGAATTGTTTGCGATGATGGATGTCTCGCCATTTAAATCATTAACCTTTGCATTAGTTTTGTGTGAATAATTCATGTATTTGTAAATTGATTGCACGTTTATTGTAATATATATATATATATATATATATATATATATATATAAATATATATATAATTATATATAAACTTTCAAATTCACGTTATATCAATTTAATGACGTAATTAATAAAACAGAATTAGCGGAACATGCAAAGTGAGGCATTAATTTAGGTTTGTGCCAAAATTAAGACTTCAACACACACACACACACACACACACACACACACACACACACACACACACACACACACACACACACATATATATATATATATATATATATATATATATATATGGACACTAAAGTCAAGACCCAACGGCCTAACGATTGCGTATAAGAGAATGAAACAGATAGTCGCCGCTGCTGTTTACTTCAATGTTCACTTTTATATTTAAGTACGCTCTAACCCATAAATATATCTTAAAACTATATATATATATATATATATATATATATATATATATATATATATATACAGACTTAAACTCATACGTATTTCCCTGCTGTAAAAATGGAATACACGTTTAATTCCTATCGGTGAGACATATAGATAGATATATATTTCGTTAGTCAGGTTTTCTAGATTTCCATACCGGTTGACATTAATTTCGCTGTTTAAGATAACAAGGACATCAACTCAAACACGTGTACTTACTAAATATAACGTTTATAATAATCACCATCATTATGATCATCATGTATGTGACATGTCCATTCAGGACGTGTGCGATCATGGTTCTCTACAACTTCCTACACTTTGTAGCTCTTAGTAAGCTTTTCTTTTTCACTCCCTATTCTGCCATGCGTTTGCACAATCTCGTTACGTAGGTTACTCGCTGTTTCCCTCTCCCCCTTTTGCTTTCAATATGTCAATGTGAGTGTCAAATTCTCCGAGCTTCTTTCATCATTATTTGTCCTAAGGTAATCTATCTATCTATCTATCTATCTATCTATCTATCTATCTATCTATCTGTGTGCGTGTGCGTGCAAAACCTGCAAAGTGTTCACGTTCAAACCTACTATACATATATAATATCCATTTATGTCATTAAGTATCGGTTAAATTATTAGGTGGACCAAGCTGTACACGAAATTCTTTAAGAGAAAGATATTAAAGTAAAAAGTTACTCAAAGGGAGTTGCATCAATTAGGGGACTGTTAAAAGATATAATTAATACGGAAAATAGAGTGAAATTATATATATATATATTTCGAATTCTGGTTGGTTCTGTTTCGTTTACTTCACGCAAATGACTTTGCATTAATTATCTTCTTCCAGCTATGGATTAAATATCAGTGGAATCAGAACTCTCTTGTCCAGAGTAGCAATTAAGTTAGAAGAAAAAAAATGTAGATTCAAAAAAGTGCGTTAATGTGTCAATTAGCAATACTCGTGAAAATTCCACGTTCTTCTTATTTGAATTTTCTTTGGCGTTCCACGACATGGAAATTCCCCTCTTGCATTGTTAAATATTTGAGCTTGAGAAACTTAACAAAATACTGTAAGAACAATCATTTATTTAAAAAGGTAAAAGACTTCAAATCGAAAATTTTGAAACCGACGAGTTTTTTCATTTCACTGAAGCAGACGTAAAACATGTTATCGCCACCTCTGTCGTCTCTCGTCTCTTTTCTTTCTTTCTTTCTTTCTTTCTTTCTTTCTTTCTTTCTCTGAAACCAAACAGCGTCTCTGATATGCCTTTTCCATTTTTCCTCGCACTCGAAACGGAATAGTCTATTACGTATGACGTAATGGCAAGGTGTACCGTACGCCCTAAATAAGGAAGGAGGAGACAAGTATAATTATAATATGGGTATTTTTCAGAACGACCACGTCGCTACCAAATGTGACACAAGACCGAGTTTTAAAGTGGGTTTAACGGCGATACCGTGCAAAAATTGCCCAGCCACAATCAGCACTTCCCCTTTTTGGTTACGCCTCAGGCGCAAGGCAATAAACACAGCTCCCTCCTGAAGGAGAGATATTGCCTGTGGGAAGTCAAACTGGGGCTTGAGTTTAATATTTTTTGAAAGTCTCCTCATAGGCTTTCGCCTACAGTAGGTAAATATAAGATGATAATAAAGTTATTCACCCCTGCTGATCCCAAAAGTAGCATTTTCTTTCTTTCTTTTTTACTTTCTTTTTATGTACGTGTCTTTGATAAGTATTTTTCTTCCGTCTTTCCAAAGGCATGGCTTAACGCAAATGCTAACTCAATAAGATCAATCAGAATTATAATATACGCGACTTATTCATTCTTTCTTCGATTATAAGGACTCACCCTGTGCCATGTGATGGAAAACAATCCCATACCATTACATTGCTACATTCATGCTTCACAGTTGGGTCAGTGACCTTTTGCTTGAATTCTGTTGGTTTTTCTGGTTTTCATGTGAAATGAGGCCAAATGACTATTTTGGTCTCATCAGTTGAAAGAATGTTATTCCGGTAGGTATCTGGCTTACATAAATGTTACTTAGCAAAATTCAAACGTGTGACTTTTTTTTTTCAGACGAAGCATTTTTTGTACTTGACAAGATAGCAAGCTGTCCTGGCGGAGTGTGTTTCTGACACCATGTGGTATCGCTGTTGACCCTGATGTATACAGATCTACCAATTTTTAATGAATAATCCTTGGCTACTTCTGTTACTTTTCTTACAATCCTACTTGCAACACAACTGGAAATCTTTTGAAAGGCACCAGATCAAGGAAAGTTCACTAGTGATTCACGTTCCTTTCACTTCCTAATCATCGAACCAGCACAGCATGGATGAAGTTGTAGCTCTTTATTTTTATTTTTCTGCTTCTAAGTGTCGTGTCACTTCAGAACTTTGTTGATCATGGCTTTCCACAATTCCATGTTCTTTGTAGCTCTTAATGAATTTTGTCTTTTTATTATCTAAATCTATCCTAAACCTTGTTCTGCCACCCATTTACACCAGCTGGAGTAGATTATGCGTCGTTTTCGTCTCCTTCTTGCTTTTAATCTGAGTATCAAATTTTCCAAGTCCTCTTTCCACATTATGTGCGCTAGAAATTTCAACTGTCTTTTCCTGATGTTTTCTCTAAAACTTTATTGTTGCTCGCATCTTCAGTCCATTGTATTCTCAGCATCTTCCTGTAGAACCACCTTTCTGTTGCTTCAAGTCTCTTCTTCATCTGTGAAGAGATTGCCCAGTATTCACTGCCACGTAGGAGGAATAATACTAAGTATAATAAGTATTTTTCCTTTGTTTCTAGTGAAATTTTCCTGTCTTTTAATACTTCGCTAAACTTTTCGAAGGCATTTTGTACTATCACAAATTCAGTGTTGCACTTTCTGTTCTCTGTTAAAACATTTCAGAGATATTACGATTACTGTACTTGTTTGGTTATGGTATCCTCCCATTTTTAATTTTAATTTGGGCTGTTCCTTTTGCTGATTGTTGATTGTCATGCATTCATTCTTGCAATTGATGTTTTTTCCTTTCTTATATCTTATGTTGTTAATATTGTGGCTGCCAGTAAAGAATCTTGGTAGGACTTTCTAATGCTATGTATTGCCTCACTGTATAGATTGAATAAGTTTGGTGAGAAGATACATCCTTGTCTTACAACCGTTTCTATTTTTTATATTTACTAATTTTATTTTCTCACCATATGTAGATGATTTGTTGTATATTTCATTTATTATGCCTGTAATCTTGTCTATGCCGAAATCATTTATGGCTGCCAGCATCTCTATTATGACTCCGTCTGGCCCTGCTACTTTATTTCTGTTCAATTTGGTTAGTGCTGATATTAATATTTCTGGTCCGTCCATATTTATGTCTATAGGAGTTCTTGTAGTTTCCTTTCTGTATCTGATATCAATACTGTGTCATCTGCATATCTTATGTTGTTAAGATTGTGACTGCCAATAAAGAATCTTGGTAGAACTTTCTAATGCTCTGTATTGCCTCACTGTATAGGTTGAATAAGTCCTGGGGGAAGACACATCCTTGTCTTACATCCCTTTCTAATTTTGTGTATTTATTGAATTCACTTTTCTATTCGTATCCAGGCGGTTTGCTGCCAGTATAAGTTCGGGATTATTCTAATATCCTTCGCAAATATGCCAAGGTTACCCAGCAATTCCAACAGTTCTTTTCTGACGTACTTTATCAAACGTTTTTGCATAATCTATAAAACATAGATGAAAATTATAAATGATAGAAAGCGATTGGTTTCGACAGATTTTAGCGAAAGGTGGGTGACTGCGGCGAGCCTTGTTCACTTGAACGAGGCTTGCCTTGATTTTCTTTCTTAGGTCTCCCTAAGTCACATTGGGATGGTTTCCTTTGGAGCCATCCCCTGGTTAGGCTAGACCCTTTTGCATACCTAGTTAATGTGAGTAAGTGTCGTTCTTGGCCTGTTCCCGGCTGCTTCTTTGGTTATGATCCAAGTCGAGATTCCCAACCTCCCCAGTTTGTTTTTGGCCGCACTTTTTTTTTTTTTTTTATCTCGACCGGTTCAGCATTTTCTTTCCCCATAGGCGTATTTATTTTATTCATCTCTCTCCTTTACCGAGAGAGCTACTTGACTTTGTCTAAAGACAGAATACAGCGGCTTCTCTTAATTCTTTTGAAGGATTAACGGGTCCAACTTACATCAGTTATCCTTTTCATTTGTGTATTTGTTTTGATATTTTAGTTTGTTTTTGGGTTCATTCCCTCCCTCCCCCTCATTACCTATCATCGACAGATTTTTAAATATAGAATTTTATAATCGTTAATGTCATGGGGTGTTTTTGTAAGTCCCCTGAGAATATTGCGGTATTGTGGTATATGAAGGATTGAATGATGGAGGATAAGTTCTTTTAGTGGATGTGAAAATTGTAATGAGTGAATGGGTCTTCAATCTGATTAGCTAAGATAAGATAAGATAGTAAGTGATGACCAGTCTCAGCCCATTTCCCACCCATTTTAGGCCTTGTGTCACAATTGTATTTTATATATAATAAATCTTAACATATGTATACGTCATTTTTCATTTGTATTGCTCAAATTAAACACTAACTATGGCATCTGTGAGGTCTGTAGAACAATCATCTGTTTTCGGATTTCTGGTTGCCATTGCAAGAATAATGGTAAGTAGTCAATTGAAACACTGTACCATCATCCTAGGAATGTTAGCTACGATTTAGAACACTCTCGAATAACGTACAGCTGTTTAAAATCAACCATCTAGAAATTTACATTCTCCAGAAGTATTAGTTTACTATTTTCATGAATGACGATTGAATACATTTACTTCATTTTTTTTTTAAAGCATATCTTTTATGTAAATAAATTTGTTGAAATGTTTGTCTATATTTTCTATTATAAAGATGTAAAATATACGTGGTGTCATTTTGAGGTAACTGTTACGAAATAGACTGTTTTGTGGCGTGTTTTAAATATTTATTTTCCTTCCCCTCTCTCTCTTTCTCTCAGTGGGATGCAGAAGTGAGCATTTTCTTTATCGAATGTACAGGCCGATAGACATAATACACTCTGTTTAAAATAAAAATAAAAATGGGGCGGATAACGTTTGAAGTAATATCTCTCTCTCTCTCTATATATATATATATATATGTGTGTGTGTGTGTGTATATTGTGTATTTAGGTAGGAATCATTCTTTCAGTCAAGCTTCATTAAATATGACGGACAAGGTGCTATTGGACTTTTTATTATACTTATACAATTTCCGAATGACGTATTGTTTTTCAAGATTAAAGTTATGAATAAATAGTTCAAAGTTTAGGGTTTTTGTTATATCCAAATAATTTCGATGATATGGTAAACAAGTCTTATACTAAATTCTTGCGTTTTTAAATTATCGAAAGTACTATAATATAGCAAGAAAAAATGAACATTGGATAATTTATTCATAACTTCAATTCCGGTATGCAACACCTCATTAGAAAATTGGAATAAGAATTGAAAACGGTTAATGATATTCTCAGCATCCTTCTGTAGAACCATATTTCTGATGCTCCAAGTCTCTTCTTCATCTGCATTCACTCTATATAGGATCACTGATTTTATATAACAATTCAGTATTTGTTTCTAACGAATCTTTTCTGTTTCTTAATACTTTGTTTGGAAGACATCTGTCGCTATCTCAATGCGCCTTTGGATGTCGGTGTCGGACATTTCGTCCTCTGTTAAAACACTTCCCAGATATTTAGATCGTTGTATATGTTTGATTTTGGTGCCTCCATTTTATAATTTGCATAGAAATCAAATCTATATGTAATGAATGCATGCAGAATGTTTAATTATATTCAAAAGAAAGAAAAAAAAGATATCGGAAATAATATTAACTGAAAACAGGAGATATACATTTGGTGTTTTTTCTGTGCATATTGACAACGAACACTCACAAGAAGACCTACTTTTGTAGTACTGCTAGACAAAACCAAGCAACAAAAAATAAAATTAAAGGACCTCTGATGGAGACAAACAGTTAGCTGGCTGGTCGTGTAGAGCTTTTCCAGCTTAAAGACGACGATCATTCAAGTATAATCAGCCCCACTGTTGTGAATATGTACACCCCCCCAAAAAAACGGTCAAATTTAGTAAATATATATAAGTATATCCATATGTAAGTATATATAAAACAGTTTGTGCTTAAAAAAATGTCGGTCGCATATCTGATAAAAAGTTATAAAGCCTGAATTTTATTTGCTTATTTATCTTTTATTCTCAATGGGATGAGAAAAGCTCAGCCAACATATATCTACGAGTCGTAGGTGACTCACGAGTCGCAAGCGGCTCATGAGTTGCAGGTGGCTCACGAGTCGTAGGTGGCCCACGAGCCGCTGTTTGCCCAGTCCAGAGGCTGTGATATAAAAAAAAAGGTGATGCTATATCAGTTTCCTCTATGAGGGCTACTGTTGCAACATGTAACGTCACAAGTTTTAACTACTTACCATTATTCTTGCAATGCAAACCAGAGATCCGAAATCAGATGCTTGTTCTACGGACCTCAAAGATGCCAGAGTTAGTGTTTATTGTGAGCAATACAAATGTAAAATGATGTATACCTATGTTTCGTAGATTAGGCAAAAGCGTTTGCATAATCTATAAAACATAGGTATACATCATATTGCATTTGCATTGCTCATAATAAACACTATGGCATCTGTGAGGTCTGTAGAATAACCATCTGTTTTCGGACTTCTGATTTCCATTGCAAGAATAATGGTAAATAGTCAATTGAAACACTGTATCATTGTCCCAGGAATGTTAACTACTATTTAGAGTATTCTCAAATAATTTACAAAGTTTTGTTTTCCATACCAGAACTTTATTGTGGTGACGATGGGTAAGCACAAAGGATCAAAAACAAAGTATGTGAAAGGGCGGATGACCCTTTTTGTAGAGTCAAGGGTCATCATAAATAGGGTAGGATGGTCTCCCTGGCTATGAATGATGCTTCTGCGGTAATTTCTCGGAATCTCTGGGTGGAGGGCTTCCTAGACTAAAGTCAACGGTCACGTCCGCTGACCGTTCACCGATTGAATCAACAGCCATGTGTTCGTGAATAAGGCGAGTCTACAGGTTTGAGGACATCGGCCGTGGTTTGACCTGGGAAGGAGGGACTCCCTCTTATCTACTTGCTTAAGACTCGCTATGCGGGAATGAATACCACTCCCCAGCGCAGAAATGAGGCGGGAACTTTTATGATGCCCAGTTGCCCATTGTCGCTACGACAACATCTGATTATGAAGACATGGATGATGATGTTGGTTCACATAGTTTGTCAAATAGCATAACTGCATACTATTAGAATTTCATATTCGGACAATAAAAATATTTGTAGGCTTTAGAAAATTCTTATGCTATTTCTTAATTGAAAATGTCCTAATAGGTTCGCCTATCGCTAAGTTCAAATTCCGCACTCTATTGAACAAAAGTAGAAATTTATCTCTTGTTTCCTCTTTAGGATTGGGTTTCCGGCTCCTTCTAAAGTCTTTTCATTTTCTTTCTCTCCCAGAAATCTTAGTGGCCTTATCGCCTTGCTTGGGGTGAAATGATTAAAAAGAAAACGAACAAAAACCAATATCTTTTATATAACTTTCTAAAAGTAGATGACTTGCCATTTACACACTCTCAAAATCACGCACCCCAATCATGTTTTCTCCGTTTACGTTTGTTCTACTTGGTCGATATCCGAGGAGATTTAGTTCATTGCTTTTTTTCGCATTGAAATGAAGAGGATGAAGTAATTTCTTTCTTACCAACATGTTTCGTAATATCTCCTTCTGCCGTCCACCATCAAGCAGGCCGCTGGGCACCACGGATGACTAATACAAACAAGTACTGTTGACATAAGCAAGTGCCGCGCCAGCTGTCTGCTTGGAGTCATTTTCCTCTTATTTCATTGCCAACCTTATGGAAAAAATCTGCAGAATAAGTTACTTGCTTACGAGTTGCTATCTCATTTTTTCACGTTGTACAAATACCCCCAAAAAAAAAAAAAAAAAAAAAAAAACAAAAAAAAAAAAAAACGAGGAAACGAAAAAAAAAAAAAAAACGAGGAAACGAAAAAGCGAACAAACAAGTAAATAAAATCAAATAAATAAAAAAAAATTTTCCGGGAGAAAAGACTAGCGTTTTTTGTTTTTTTTTGTTTGTTTTTTGCTTTTGTTTTACTTATCTATCTCCCACCTGTCTAGTGTCTGCATCAGTGGCTTTAATGAAGAGAGGGAGTCCGACATGAAAGAATGGGCGTGGTCACAGTGTTTTGGATACTACTCAGTCCCTACAGAATGTGAGCTTGATAGAAGCCAAGAGCCATCGATAGTAATTCGGCTAATCATGTTCTTTTAACTCTCGTGTTCTTGAAAAAAATTGTATTTTAAGAAAGCAAACATATAGTTATTTACTTTAGGAGAAAGAAGTTATGGAATTTAAAAGGCGCGAGTTTGTGTGCATATCAGGTGAAGGTGTGTGTTCTCATTGAAACAAGAAGTATACACTAATTTAACGTTTCTACCATGGATCGTTTATTCTCTTCTTTATAGTGACTGTAAATGAAACAAAGTTCTTAATGTCTCTTCGGTATGACTGTTTCCCTTTTGATCCAGGACTTAAAGTAAGTAAGTATAGGCATCGTATTAATAGTCGATCTCAAGTCGGCTTTTCGAACAACCGAAGGAAGGTTTATATTTCATTTATTATTGAGGATTTAAACATGCTTATGACATGTACGGTTTCTTTTTCTTGGTACAGAAGTTAAAAGAGAGCAAGTATAAGCATCGTTACAATTGTCGCGTTCAACTCTGCCTTGCGCTGAGTTGGAACAGCAAAGGAGAAAGCTTGACTCACCTCATAGGTTGAGGTTTTGGAAGACACGTGCGAGCTCCATGCGTTGGAAAGTGAAAAGAGAGTAGAGTTGTGCGTAGGACGGGGAACTAACATTCCCAATGAGAACCTAATTACCACGTGGTTCTATATGTTGAGAAAGGTGGGAAATATTTACCTTTTTATAGACTTCAAAAGCGCCACCTAACGGAGTTTAGCAAAACCAAATATGGTGATCATATTTCCGGTTTCTTTACTCTAAGTACCATGGAAAATGTATTTTTTTTTTGTTTATTATTCGTTATTATTATTTGTCGATTTTTATTTCCCTTTCCCACAAAGTATGATGAAGTGGAAAAAGCTTTCGTGTGACGCGTTTCGACCTTTAGGTCTTCATCAGTCTAAATAGTTATTTATCGTTGTCATCCCAAAACTGCATTATTTACACTCGGACTAATGCCCTCATTTTTGTTGTTATTAACACAACGTTTCGGCTGTTGTACCTTCCGGGGTTCTTCAGGTGTCTGTTAATCCAGATAATCTACAGGGAATTCCACTGTCCATGTCTAGGGATATCACATCTTGTTCTTATTTAGCACAAAGCGGCCAAAACGTTGCGACAAGAGCAACAATGATGAGGACATTTGTCTGAACGTAAATAATGATAACTTCTCATCTTCGAAATTCAGACAGACGTTTTGTCATCATAAAAATAACGTTTTTAACGAGAAAAAAGAAAAATACGAATTGTAAGTAAAGTTAGTTCTATAAGAAATCCGTCGGGAATTGGATATAAAAGAATTCATGAAACTCCGAACATGAATTCATATATTTTAAGTGAATTATTTTATACTATTAATACTATTTGTAATATATATATATATATATATATATATATATATATATATACTGTAAAAATTTTCAGTCACTCAGAAATTCCTTAGAAATCTTAACGATATCGAAAGCATACGAAAAGGATTAGTAAGATTTGTAATTAAAGAAAAAAATAACATAGGTGCTCAAGAATTAAAGAATAAATTTCTGGCTTGAATGATTTCTTCTGACACGGTGTTGCTAATAATAGTAATAATAATAATAATAGTATCAGACACCAATAAAAAAAAATGAAATATTTAAGAAAAAAAAGACTTAA